GTGGGAGGAGAGTTTGAGGCCAAGAATTCAAGACCAACCTGGGCAACGTAGCAAAACCTTATCTCTACAATAAATAAATAAATAAGCAAAGAAAGAGAATATTTTTTTCACTTTTTAAAAGACAGAAATAGAAAACAGAAATCCGCCAGGCTCGGTGGCTCAGCCTGTAATCCCGCGCCTTTGGGAGGCTGAGGTGAGTGGATTGCCTGAGCCCGCGGGTTCGAGAACCTCCTGGGCAGGCGAGACCTCATCTCTACAATAAATCAAAAAAATGAGCCGGGCGTGGTAGCGTGTGCCTGTAGTTGCAGCTACTTGGAAGGCTGAGGCGGAAGGATTGCCAGAGCCCATTTGGTCGAGGCTGCAGTGGCCGGGAGCGGTCACTGCACTCCAGTCTAGGCGACAGTGAGACTCAAACTCAAAAAAAAAAAAAAAAAAAAGAAGAAGAAAACAGAAATCCAGTTGAACTCCTGTAGTAAACTGGAATTGGTTGTTCTTTTTTCCATTTCTTTGGAACATCTACTTAGCTCCCTGGCACCTTCCATTATAGATGTGGCCTCAGAAAAACTAAGAAATGATCTTATGAGCATGGGTGCTTTCCCAAACTCATCGTCTCAGTCCCTTCCAGTACTTTAAAGCTGACAAATTTCAACAAAGTGAATTAATCTGGACGTTGTGGGAAAATAAATACAATGGGCAACTCTTCTTTAGAAATAGTTATAAATACACATATTAAGAAAAGTAATCACATGGCACCCTTACTCAAAAATGTCCATGATGTTCGTGTTTTTAATTAAAGAGAGAAAGACACAGACATAGTTTGTCTTACATTTTCAGCTCTGTCCACTGTTAGCAGAAACGCTGGGAAGTGGTACAAACCTTCCAGGGGGCAAATTACCACCGACATGTATTCAGGGGGCAAATTACCACCAACATATATTTAAATCTACATATTCTTTAATCAATTCTCCTTCTAAAAATGTATTTTACAGATATCTGCACGAGTGCACAATGATATATGTATAAATATTTGTTTACCTTTAGTTATAATTTCTTAGGAAAATAATGAAATGTCCAACCATAGGAAACTGGTTACACAGATAGAGATCTACATTTATATGTCTATTATAGCCGGGTGCCATGGTTCACGCCTGTAATCCTAGCACTTTGGGAGGCCGAGGCGAGTGGGTTGCCTGAGCCAGGTGTTGGAGACCAGCCTGGGCAACTTGACGAGACCTCTTCTCTACAATAAATCAAAAAATTAGCTGGGCATGGTGGCACACACCTGTAGTTCCAGTCACTTGGAAGGCTGAGGCGGAAGGATCAACTAAGCCCAGCCCCAGTCGAGACTGCAGTGACCGTAAGTGTGCCACTGCACTCCAGCTTGGGCGACAGAGTGAGACTCCAACACACACACACACACACACACACACACACAAAGTCTCTGATGGCATGGGAACCAAGATTCAAACACGGTTATTTTTTGTTCCTATTTTAATAAATCTATAACCACATAAGCAAATAGAGAAAATACTGGCAAAAAAGATACCAAAAAATAAAATTTCCTAAGGAGCTGTGGTATTACAGAGAAAATTCTGATACGTGCATTACTTTTAGAATAAATTTTTTATTTTAAAAATAAACTGCAAATTCGCTTTTAAAAGTTTTGGATTTATAGGTTTTTTAAAAAATCATTTAGCTAAATAAATGAGTTGCTGTCAAATTTTATTTTTTAAATGTTGCTCAAGTAGAATGACCGGCTTTTGAAATTCACAGTCCTTCCATAATGAAACGATACTGTCTTTCAGTATTCCTGTGCTGCCTGCAAGAGAAAGTGAAAATAAATTTGCCAGAGAGAGGATTAATCTCCTACCACTACCCCCACCAAGAGGGCTGAGTTAAGTTTTTCATCACTCAGACCCTGCAGTTAACTTGCCTAGTGCCTGAAGACCTCATCAGTTTGACAGGAGTTGCTTCTTACCTATGGTTAACAGGTTGTGACATTCACCATTTACTATTTAATGTTCAAATAATATATATGCTCTGCTAAACTAAATGACAAATATAAAAATCTGAAATTTGGGTCGGGCACGGTGGCTCACGCCGGTAATCCCAGCACTTTGGAAGGCAGAGGAGAGAGGACTGCCTGAGGAGAGAGGACTGCCTGAGCCTGTAGGTTTGAGACCAGCCTGGGCAACTCGGCGAGACCTCATCTCTACAATAAATCAAAAAAAACTAGTTGGGCGTGATGGGCGCACATCTGTGGTTCCAGCTACTTGTAAGGCTGGAGTGGAAGGATCGCCTGAGCCCAGCAGGTCGAGGCTCAGTACCCATGAGCATGCCACTGCGCTCCAGCCTGGGTGGCAGAGTGAGACTCCGACTCAAAAAAAAAAAAAAATCTTGATTTCAAAGGTGGGAAAATTAGAGTAAAAATAAATTTTAATAGCTCCTTTGAGCACCAAAAATATACCATAACTGTGTGTATTTAGCCCACAGACTGAGACTTTTTTGCGAAAGTCTTCATTCATTCAAAAATATTTATGGAGTATCCACAATGTGCCAAGCATGTGGTTTGTGGCATTTCAGATGCATCCGTGAACACAACAGCCAAAGCTCTTGTGGAGTTTGCCAATTAACCACAGGGTGTACCTGTCTCATGTATGTATTATCTTTTCAGAAACACAGAGCACCCCACATAATCATACTTATTCCTCTGAACATCAGCCTGGGAATATCCCCAGGGACAGGCTGCCGGCACGCAGCAGCTTAGCTGAGAGCTGAGAGCTGAGGAGCTCACAGCATTCAAACTGGGCCACTTGGCTCAGGCCCTACCCAACCTGCACTCGGCTGTGTGCAGACCAGACTTGCCACCAATATTCCCCCTTTCTCCTCATGAATGCCAGTAGGTAGCTACTTAGTGTTTGGAGAACTCTGCATGCAGGGTCATAGGAAGAGCATGCATATATTACAGTTAAAGATGTACATATTCCACAACCTGGCAATTCTTCGCCTGGGCGGAGACCATAGAGAACTGTGTGAAAATGTGTACAAAGACACAGGTATCCTCCCAGCAGCAATGTTCTCCACAGCCAAAACCTGGAAGCAACCCAAATATCTAGCAAGTGCAGAATGGACAAATACATCGTGATATATTAAAATACAATGCTGTACTGCAATAAAGGCAAGCAAACCACAGTCACACAGCCACCACCACAGAATGCATCTCAAACAATACCGAGTGAAAAACACATCAGAAGAACCCTGTAGAGTGTGATACTATTTTCACATAGATCAAAACGCAATCATTTCACAACACCTTGAATATACTTAACACTACTGAACGTACAATTACAAATGGTTAAGATGGTAGATTTTGTGTTTTGTGTTTTTTTACTACAGTATAAAGAAGACAACTAAATTAATCTTTTGTTTAGGGGTATATGTGTGTGCACCTGCATGCATGTGTGCAGTAAAACTATTAAAAAAAGCAAGCGAATGAAAAACACAAGATTTAGGGTGAGCAACCTGGAAAAAGGCAGAGTGACATTGGAAAAGAACACAACGGGCCTCATGTTTTGTCTCGGTGAGGGTCTGCAGATATATGTGGTGGGCTCATGGTATTTGTTTAATTATTATGCATCTCGATTCGGATTCTTAATTCTTTGGTGGGTATCCGAATGTTTCACAAGTTTAAAAAATAGGGAGGTGAGTGGGTGAACATCAAGGTGAACAGATTCCTGGCAAAGGACCTAACACCGAAGGGTACAGTTGTACCTAACACTAAATGCTTTGACACAGTTCAGTTTTACAAAGTACAAGAGCAGAAGAGAGTGTAGTAATTTCAACTGGAGGGAGGAAATGGTGGAGGATGGTCCCAGTCATTTGAGGAGAGCAAGGGAGGCAGAGAAAGGCAAGTGTGGGGAGTAAAGGGAGAGGCTGGGAAGGACTGGCAAGCAGAGGGGTGCGGACACTCTAAGTCACCTTCCAATCCAAGTGTCAACATTCCATCCACCAGGAGCCTCTTCAGTGTGCTTTCATCATGTATCCTTATCGCTTTTACTTTCATGTGAACAGTGATAAGGATAATCCCCTCTACATAAGAAGTCATTTCTAGACCCCATCGAAAGTTAAAAAGTGAGCTAATTTTCCACCGCAAATAAGAAACTGTGTTAACAGTAAGGTATTTATGTGACAAAAGAAGAAACAGGGACTAAAGCAAATAGTTATTTTTTTCATCCTCTTTATGAAGTTTCTTTCCTTTGAAAAACCTTGTCCAAGCGAACTTCACCTGTACGATGACCACTTATGTACCTAACCTTAAATTGTACCACACATCTTAAAAAAAAACGAAAAGAAAAACGTTGGCCAAATAGGTAAAAATCCTATATAGTTTTTATTTTATATAAAGAATATGGAAGCATGTCAAAACCAACCCCAAAGCAGATACCAAATTTTTCACTGCCTGAAGTCCCCTGAACAGGCAGTTTTCAGGTTTGATATCCATGAACTGCTGCTTCCCAGTGATGGAAGTCATGGTTAAAACCAAAGATTAATCAAAAGATGCCCATAAGGGACATGCTTGATAAAAGTCCCAAGCCATAATAAAAGGAAACACTTGTGTTACAACACTACTTAAGCTCAAACTAGAAGAGGGAAAGAAGAACATGTGAAAACAATTTTTTCTATCACTTAGAAGCCAAGACACAAAAATATAGATTTCTGCAGAATAAAAGTAAAAAGTTTTACCCCGAAACAAGGAATTGTCAAACATGAACACACAAGGCAATATGTGAAGCCCTACCCAGGAAGCAAAACCGCGCTTGCATAGAAAACAGCACCCTTTGATCCACAAATCCAGTACAAGAAGATCAGTTTCGCATACATAGGTCTGCTAAAGATAAAAGCAAACGTCTCCAAAACCCACCACTGGCGACAACCTACAGTCTCACAATGTTGCTGAAAGCTGCCAGAAGCACCCAGAAGTCAGAGGATAAAGGAGTCACTGTGAGAGGGGTGTTGCTCCCCCTCCCTTCCCTCTAAGAAAGGTGGGGAAAGGAAAGGGGGAGAGCTTGCAGAGGGACTCACATGGCCTTTCCATCGCCCCAACTTTTTGACAGCCTGGACCCACATCCTGCGGAGGACTTGAGCGGTCTTCATGGCTCTGGAGACTCGTGGGCCAGGCTGCCACCTACATCCCTGGCTGCTCACCCATTTCCATCACTCCACGTGGTTACATAAGGCGGATACAATAGTGGCCCACATTCCCAGCAAATCCTGTTGTCATCTCGCACAGTGACACATCCATACAGCAGGGACGCCAAACGCTTTGAAAAGCACCACTTGTGAGGGAAAAAGAAAGCGGTCTGGGTCTGCAACACTTGTAACTGCTTTCTCTTCGTCCCTCCCTCCCTCCCTCCCTCCCTCGCCAGGACACTAGAGCATTAGAGCAGATATTTCTTTCAGGCTTAGAAAACAATTCCGTATCTAAGTAGAAATTCTTAAGAAAAGGAGATACTTGAGAGCAATACTATGGAAAAGAATTTGGAAACATATTTATTTATACAATAGACACACACACACACACACACACACACACACACACACACACACACCCCAAGTGTAAACCAGCTGGAAACAAAGTGACGATGTTTCAGGTCAACTGAATGGCTAATGTTACATAGAAATTAAAAGGCCTGAAGAGAAAATGTTTCGCATCCTTGGAGATAACTAGGGGATGATAAGACATGGGCAGCCAGAGCAAGACAGAATGCCTGCTCAGCAAAGTTCTTGCCATTTTCTAAGGTCTCAGTAAACCAAGCAGATAAAAGAATAACAAAGAGTCCTGTTATCTGTTTGTCTTGATCACTTGGAGAAGGAGGGTTGGGAAAAGTTTTAGGTTTCTGAACATCCAGCAAAGACTTTATGGGATGCCTGGAGCTTCAGAGCTGGGGTTGGGATTTCAGAACCCTGGTTTTGGCTGCACAGTTAATGTTACATACCAATGGGCTGAACCAAGCACTTTGTAAATGAAGAGTGCATCATCTGATTTGTATGAGAATGAGATGCTCAACAATTTGGACCATGAGATGAGAACCGTATAGAAAACAAAGTGAAACAGAGGCTAGTGAGTTTTTATTTATTTATTTATTTATTTATTTATTTATTTGAGTTGGAGTCTCACTCTGTTGCCCAGGCTAGGGTGCGTAGTGGCACGCTCACAGACACTGCAACATTGACCTGCTGGGCTCCGGTGATCCTTCTGCCTCAGCAAAAGTAGCTGGAATTAAAGGCGCATACTACAATGCCTAGCGAATTTTTTTGATTTATTTTAGAGACAAGGGCTCCCCATGTTGCCCAGGCTGGTCTCGAACCTGCAGGCTCAGGCAATCTACTCACCTCTGCCTCCCAATGCGCTGGGATTATAGGCTTGAGTCATCACACTCAGCCAAAAGTGAGTTTTTTAAAATCACAAGATCTGGGATACAGTCCTGTTCTGTACTTAGCTGTGGAGTCACGAATATGTTGTATCTTTCTTTGTGCAATGGAGACAACAACCATTCACACATCAGAGAGAGGGTCAGTGTCAGCAAGAAATGAGGTGGCCTCTACAAAGCACGGTCCTGAATAGGCACTCAGAAATGTGCATGTCCTTCCTTGGGATTCTTTTTTCTTCTTTGAGTCAGAGTTTCAACTCTGTCACCCAGGCTGGAACGCAGTAGCACGCTCACAGCCACAACAGCCTCGACCTGCTGGGCTCAGGTGATCCTTCCGCCTCAGTCTTCCAAGTAGCTGGAACTACAGGTGAGAACTACCACGGCCAACTAATTTTTTTGATTTATTGTAAGGACAAGGTCTTGCCAATTTGCCCAGGCTGGTCTCAAATCCCCTGGGCTCAGGCAATCCTCACAACTCTGCCTCCCAATGTGCTGGGATTATAGGGATGAGCTACCAAACCTGGCTCCTTGGGATTCTTCATAAGTGTTATCACTGCTACACAGAGGTGAAAAGAAGTGAAATTGTATGTTCCAAAACTTACAATGAAAAGGGCAGGAGTACAAAGAACCTTGGGAAGCTGAGCAGGCACCCAGGCCTCGACCTGGGTTATACAGGCTCCATACGCACCAGTTACCAGGCTCGGCCCAGGAGCCAGTTCATGGGGCCCCCTGTGCAGAGGAGTGGGAGAACTCAGGTAACTTAGGAGGGTTCAGGACAGCTCACTCCTGCACTCTGACAATCGAGGAAAACACCTGAGCTCACCTGATGAGGAAATAAATACTTCTTTCCCTTAAGTTCCTGCCTACTGAGAAGTCACAGGTATCCTCGAATTTAAGAATTCCAAATTCTTCTACAGTTTCTGGCAACACAAAATTTTTTTTTAAAGCAGGATTTATTGAAAGGACAGAAAAGCTCCCACAGTGGGAGGGGACCCGAGGGGGTTGCCCATTAATTCTTTCTTAAATTGTGCTAAGAACACATGCATAACATGAAATTTACCCCCTTAACCATCTCTAAGTACAGTTGACTTTTTTTTTTTTTTTTTGAGTCAGAGTCTTACTCAGTCACCTAGGGTGGAGTGCACTGGCATGCTCATGGCCATCACAACCTCGGCCTGCCGGGCTCAGGAGATCCTTCTACCTCAGTCTTCCAAGTAGCTAGAACCACAGGTGCATGCACCACACCCAGTTAATTTTTTTGATTTACCGTAGAGATGAGGTTTCACCATGTTACTCAGGATGGTCTCAAACCCCTGAGCTCAGACAATCCTCTTGCCTCTGCCTCCCAAAGTACTATGATTACAGGCTTGAGCCACCGCACACGGCGATACAGCGGACTCTTAAACAACTGCACTGATCCACTTTTATGTGGATTTTTTTCAACAGACGTTACACTGAGGGGGCTTGCCTCTCCTTTCACCTCCTCCACCTTTTCTGCCTCCTGGGCCTGAGGCAGCAAGACCAACACAGCCTTCTGCTCCTCCCCCTCAGTCAACTCAACGTGAAGATAAGATGACGATGCCCCACCTCCACTTAGAGAACAGTAATATATTTTCTCTTATACATATCATACATAGTAAATATATTTTCTCTTTTTCATCTGTTGGTCTCCCACTCAGGCTGGAGTGCAGTGGCATGATCATGGCTCACCGCCGCCTCTACCTCCTGGGCTCACCGCTACCTCTACCTCCTGGGCTCAGGGGAACCTTCTGCCTCAGCCTCCTGAGCAGCTGGGACTACAGGCACATACTGCCATGTCTGGCTAATTTTTTTTATTTTTGTAGAGAAGAGGTCTTGCTGCGTTGCGAAGGCTGGTCTCAAACTCTTGGGTTCAAGCAATCTTCCTGCCTTGGCCTCCCAAAGTGCGAGGATTACAGGTGTGAGCCACTGCACCCGGCATGATTTCCTTTTTTTTTTTACTTTTTGAGTTGGGGGTCTCACTTTGTCACCCAGGCTGAAGTGCAGTGGCATGATCGCAGTTCCTTGCAGCAGCCTCAATCTCCTGGGCTCAGGCAATCCTTCTGCCTCAGCCTCTCAAGCAGATGGGACTACAGGCCACATCACCACATCTGGTTAATTTTTAAATTGTTTTTGTAGGTCTTGCTGTGTTGCCTAGGTCTCAAAGTCCTGGGCTTAAGCAATCCTCCCACCTCAGCCTCCCAAAGTGCTGGGATTACAGGCATGAGCCACTGCACCTGGCCTGATTTCTTATTTTTTTGAGTTGGGGTCTCATTCTGTTGCCCAAGCTGGAGTGCAGTATGCAGTGGCACAATCATGGCTCACTACAACCTCAACCTCCCGGGCTCAGAAATCTTTCCAACTCAGCCTCCCAAGTAGCTGGGACTACAGGCATGTGCCTCCATGCCTGGCTAATTTTTAATTTCCTATGTTGCCCAGGTTGAGTCTTGAACTCCTGGGCTCAAATAATTCTCCCATCTCGACCTCTCAAAGTGCTAGGATTACAGGCATGAGTCACCATGCCCAGCCTGGAAGAAAGTAACAGTAATTTCTTTTCTCTAGTTTACTTTATTCTAAGAATACAGTATATAATACACATAACATTCAAAATATGTGCTAACAGACTGTTCATGTTATCAGCAAGACTTCTCTGGTCAACAGGAGGTTATTAGTAGCTAAGATGTTAGGGAGTCAAAAGTTATAAATGGATTTTCAACTGTGCAGGGGGGCCAGCACCCCTAAGTCCTGCATTATTCAAGGGTCAACTATATACAGTTTGGTAGCAGCTACGGTTTGAATGGATATGTTGCTCCAATATTCATATACCAGAAACTAGGACCCAATGTAATGGTGTTAAGAGGTGGGGAACTTAGGAAATGATGAAGTCAAGAGAGCTTCACCCTCATGAATGGGATTAGTGCCCTTGTAAAAGGGCTCAAGGCAACTAGCTAGGCCCCTCTGCCTTTCAGCCTTGTATCACGTGAGGACGCAACATCTGTCCCTTCCACCTCTTCCGCCCTGTGAAGACGCAGCATCAGGATGCCATCCTGGAAGCAGAAAGCAGCCCTCAGCAGCCATAAATCTGCTGGCGCCTTGATATCAGACTTCCCAGTCTCTGTTCTTGATAAATTACTCAGTTTCAGGTATTTTCTTATAAGAGCAGGGATGGACTATACTAGTAGTATATTTACACTGCTGTAACGCCAATCTTCAGAACTCTTCTCGTCTTGCAAAACTGAAACTCGGTCCCCATTAGACAACAACTTCCCATTTCTCTCTCTCTGCCCAGCTTCTGGAAACCATCATTCTACCTTTTGATTCTATAAATCTGACTTCATTAGATACCTCATTTCAGTAGAATAATACAGTATCTGCCTTTCTGTGACTGGCTTATTTCACATGGCATAATGTCCTCAAGGTCCATTCATGGGGTAGCATGTCAAAACTGCCTTCCTTTTTAAGGCTGAATAATATTCCATATAGATAAGGTTGCATAATAACCCACGGTATGTATACACCACATTTTGTTTATGCTCTCATCCCTTGATAGACATTTGAGTTACCTTCACCTCTTGGCTATTGTGAAAAATGCCACCATGAACACGGATATACAAGCATGCTATCCTCAATTCGTTACCCAAACATTCAACAAATACGTACTAAGTGCAGTGTGCTCTGGAGATCAAATGAAGAGCAAAACAGATA